AGCCGGAAGTGATTGTTTCAGTCACCCAAGAGGGAGTAGCACTAGGAGTATCAATCACAACAGTACCAGCGGATGTGCCTACAGGAGTAGCAATGGTAGAGGTAAATCCTTTAGAACCAGAAGTCACTGTTTCAGTAACCCAAGAGGGAGTAGGGACGTCAACGATAACAGTTCCAGGGACTGATCCAGATGCCGAAGTAATAGTGCTTGTGAAACCAACAGAACCGGAAGTAGTAGTCAAAGTATCAGTCTCTGTATGGCAAGTAACGTTTGGAGAAGTAGTCACCAAGCTTGGCGTTGAGGATGAGCTGGTAGTGGCGCTTGTAATAACCCTGCTCGATGTATCAATAGAAGTTGAAGCACTGGGGGCAGAGGTAGTCTTCGCAGAAGAAGAGGTAATTACTACGGAATGCTCAGGGGTGGGGGAGCCTGTAGTAGTAAAGTATTCAGTTGAAGAAGATGCGAAGAATGCGGTAGTTGTTGTGGGTATAACAACCGTACTAGAATTCTCGACGACTGTTGATGAAAGAATGGTCGAAGAAGTCAAAGGAGTCGAACTACCTACACTTGAAGAAGAACTCGTAGATGTGATAGGGATCGATGAAATAGGGATTGAAGATGATGATTGACTCGCAGAGCCAGTTGTAGTCGTGAAGGCGCTCCCAGTATCATAAGAAGTAACGGTAGTAGCAAAAGTGTTAGTGCCTATGCTTGTGGTATAGACGGTATCATAAATGGTAGTCAGATCTGTTGTAGTGTATACATGAGAGCCACTAGTAGTCAGTTGAGTGGCAGTAGAGACAACACCATGCTTTCCATTGTTAGGAATGCTTCCGCTTCCAGACAGGGAAGAAGAAGGTGAAACAGATGAAGTTGTTGCAACAGATGGTGAAGAAGAAATGGTACTAATAATAGGTGTAGAGGAAGCGACGTTAGAAGTTATAGTAGTGACGTCCGTAAAGGAACTAGCACTCGAAACAGTCGTAGTGTATATAGTAGAGAAGCTCTCGGTTAAGAAAGAGAGGACAGAGGTGTGAGGAAACCTCCCAGTTTGAATTGTGGAGGGGGTAGAGGAAGAAGCAGAAGAGCTGGTTAGGCTTGTAGTGGATACCGGCTGGGAGCTGGAAACCAAAGTGGAGCTAGTTGATGGAGTTGGGGTACTAGCTGAGCTCGTAGTAGCAGTCTGTACAGATGAAGAAGCCGAAGGGTATCCAGTGGAGCTCACCTGAGAAGTGGTAGATGGGGTGGCTGTGGAGGAGGGACTTGGGCTAGGGCTAGGACTGGGACTGGGACTGGGACTGGGACTGGGACTTGGATTGGGACTGGGGCTCGGCGCCTGATAGGGAGTAGGAACGACAGTCGAAGAAGACGCAGAAGTTGAAGAAGGGGCTGGAGAAGAACCTCCGGAAGAGGAAGATGAACTGCCAGTCGTGCTGCTAGTGAGAGAAGAAGAGGAAGATGAATCAGTTGTGGGAACACAGGCAAGTTGAGAAGTAAATGGAACATAAGCAGTGGTAGTAACTTGTGTTGTGACAAGGGTCCAATAACTAGAAGCGGTGATGGTTTCTTTTGCCGAATAGAGAGGAACGTCAGAAGACAATACATGAGAAGGGCAAGAGCAAGATGTCGCTTCGTTTTTCGAACCATTTAAAATTTCGCCGATGGTGGCATTATCGAAGGGACCATCTTGAGAAACATAAGACACCTTTTTAGGGTACAATGCAAACGTAGGTGATATCAAAGCAAACGCAAAGAGAGGAAGGAGAAAAAATGTCATCAAAGTCATCATGAAATTCGTTAAAACAAAGAAAATTCGTAAAGAGGAAAAAATAAAAAAAAAATCGTCTATGTCTAAAAAATAAAAAAGAATGTATAGATTGTTTTCAAACAAACAATTATGCAAAGAACGTCAAAATCTATAAGATATCCAAAGGAGAGAATAATCAAAAGTTATGCTTTAAAAGATATTTCAAAATAAATCGTAGCCAAGAACACGGATGTAATAGATCGCGTCGAAAGACGTTGTTGTAGACGCACGTTGGCCGAAGCTGGTCATATTAGGCATTCTATGAAGAGCTTATATAGTTTTTTTCGTTTTAGGAAGACAATACACAAAGGACATGATTGTATTTTCAAACAATATGCCCAAACAATAGGCACAATACCCAAAGCAAAACCATGATTGTTGGTAGCTTTCACAATGGGCGATGATTCACAATGAAGCAGAGAACCTATGTTACTTCTTGAGGTAGCATTGTCTCTTTTGGAACAAAGAGATGTAAACAAAGCGAAGAAAAAAGAGGGACTTTAAAGACATAAGTTTATAAACTTTTATTAAAAACAGATTCAAGTAATAAAGTTCGTTTTGTAAAAAAAGATCCGAGTTTCCTTTTCTTGAAAATGAGATATAAGTAGAGGAAGATAGGTAACACCTTGTAAACAAAGGGCATTGAGAAGAACAGCGAGAAACAGAATGGCTCTGGATCAGCTTAGTGCTTTCTAAGGTAGCTTTCTTTCAGGAATGAAACTCGCTTAGGTGAAGTAACGGTGCTTAGAGACAATTGAAACACAATGGGTTCAAGTCTGAAAGATTGCTTGGGTAGGCAAAGAAAGTTTGGTGCTTTTTAGTTTTTAGTTTCAAAACAATAGAAACAATAGAGAAATAAAGTTTATATGCTGAAAAACAATAGCATCGCTTTGGAGGCCTTCATCTTTTGTGCATGAAATGAAAGCGAATTGTTGTATCGAAAGCTATAGCTTTTAGGACAAAGAAGTACAATTATGGAAATATTAATGAAGAATAAACTTTTTGTTTGGATGGCTTAAATCCCCTTACGTCCATTCATTATATTCTTGATGTTCTTCCAACGGAAGATAATCATTTTTGAAGTGTTCACACATCAAGAGTTTTTCTTTATTAAGAAAATCGACGGTAGAATTAGCGACGTGGATGTAAGGCTTTTTGAATGACTTTTACAAGGATGTTTGCCTATCCTGGATCGTAAGAACAAAAGTCGCTTGTTTAGAAAATGTCAACGCAAAATGAACTCGTTTTCATTTGATTCTGTTCTCTTCAAATTGCTACACTTATTCTCAGATTTCCATAAGGATAGATGATGCTTCTTGGTCTTATTTACTCTTTACCTACTTACATGCTCATCCCAGTTTTTCCCTTGTGCGAATGAGCCTTGAATTGGTGATTTCTTTCCACTTTTTTATCAACCCATGATTTCTAAAGACTCGTTTTGATGAATTTGTTCCAAAACGAAGGCCACGAGTCCTTTGGTAACTCAGAATCTCATCCTTTCCAGGAAAATGGTCCTACGTCTGCAGTCGCGTATCCTATGCAGCTTTCGGCGACAGATGACTTACTTGAAAGGCGACGTGCTTCTCAGAAACGTTACGAGCAGTTTTTGGCATCTTTGTTTGAAAAATACGGACGCGACACTTCTGACATAGCTGACGAAATTGACCTTTCCACTGGAAAAATCGTCGTAAATCGAGGTCATCTTCTTGGATTAAAAAATAAAAATGATGTCTGGGCACCTGAAGATGAGCTTGGTAGTGCTCACGAACATATGCGCGCGGCGCCTACTTTTCCCTCCAGCAAACTGGCTAAGGACGAATATCATTCAACAGCTGCACGACTGGAGCAATGTGATTTGGAAATAGCCGATGATATTCCTCTGATATCCTTTTTTCAGAACAAGGTTGGCAGTTCGCTTCCATCAAATCATTCAACGGTCTCGAGGACGTCGCACTCTAAGGAAGAAACTCAAGACACTTGCAATGATACAACAATGAAAGAACAGGATGTCGCTAGTCAAGTCTCTTCCCATCTTTCTGTTTCTTCACACACTGTTTCATCCTCATCCTCAGAAGGTGCGACCCGAAAGTCATTATCAAAAGACTCAAACGATATTTCGTACTCGCTATCTCCTAATACAAAGTCAAACCTTGAAGTCAAGGAGAATCTCGACTCAACTCCTTTAGTGAATGCGAAAATGAATGAAATGCCGAAAGATTCTCAGGCAGAACCGCACACAAACAATATCACTCTTCAGGAAGGTCTGAAAAATCCTTTCCAAACTCCAGAAAGACCGCCGAAAAGAGGCTCTACATTCTCTAAGCGGCTAAAGTCTTTGTCTACTTCTACGAAAAAAAGGAATTTTGTTTCCCTCTTGTCCATGGTTTCTCCTCGTCCTTCATTTGTATATCGGGATTCTCAAAGTTTCGTCGCCAAACCCGTTTCTGCATCTCAGATTTCTGTTCCTACTTCTGTTCCTTCGGTAAAGCATCATTCCAAAGAGCACTGTGGAAAACCATTTTGTTTTGAATGCCTAACCAAATCTTCGGGCCCCAAACAAAAGTAAAAATACTCAGTAAGTCTATCTTCACGACTGTTCTCTCTACGTACTTTCCTCTATGCATATTATTTATCGTATAACACTATAACCATTGAATTTCGTAATGGTTTTGTATATTAAAGTTAGAAATGAAACTGTATTATTCTTCGTTCTTTCCTTTCTTCATTTCAGACTGGTCGTAATAACCTTAGTAGAAACGTTCCTTGTCTATTGCTTGCAGCAATGCATCAAAACAGTAATCCATCAAAAACTGTTAGAAGTTACCTTTTCCTCAACGAAACCCAATTCTTTCTTTCTTCGTTGAGAAATGTCAATAACAAAAGAAGTTGGTCTCGTTTTTGGCAAGCTACCAAGTTCCTCTACAAACGTTTTCTTGCAATCAATGGAGTTTGCAACACAGGGTAAGTTTTTAATTTCTTAAAAGCTAAAAAATCGTACGGAATACTAAATTTCATCCTTATAGCCGCCCAAAATTGTGTACATCGTTACTACGTTTGTCTTGAAAATGGACGAGACAAGCTTCCAGAGTTTTATCGACCTTCGAGTCTCATCAGTTGGAATGGTCGCCCCATGCAATCTACAGATCTCTTATCCATGATTGCAAGCTTTCCTCCTACAAAAGCTAAAGTGGAAGACTATGACTGTCAAAGCATCTTGGGGTCGGTTGCCAATCTACTAGTAATGGTTTCAGGCAGTATCCGTTTTGCAGATAAAAAAGCGCATATTTTTTCGTATGTATTAAAAAACCCTTCGTTCCTTCTAACGCTTTTCTTATAGTGATAACCTTGTGTTGCAACAAGATGAGTCTGGTCACTACTTCATAGCCAGCCAAAATTTTCGGATTATGAATGAATAAGAGTCTTTAAAGCTGTTGAATAAGTTGCTGATAGTACAAAAAGTGAAATCATTTTGTTCCCCTATACCCTACCTACTGTACCGTACCTGGCCTTTACCACCCTTCTAATATCAACCATCATGCATTTCTTGAAATTGGTTCCTCGTATGCTTTCTCAAAGAACTGCCTCGAAGTCTTTGGTTTATTTTATGCAACGACCTGCCATCGTCCGTCCTGTTTGGAGAAGCTATGCAACGACAAAGCCAGACGATAATATGTTTGGCGAAAACTTGGGATTGGACGATAAGATGCAAAAGATAGAAGAAAAAATGAGCTCTGTTGTCCTTAATGACCCAGAGCTTGTCGAAAAAATCGATCGTCTCCGTGTATTCTGTGAAAAGCATGGTTTAAAACCGGGTGTGAAACCTTCACCTCTGGTGATGCTTAAGTTGGCAAGAGATCCTGAATTCATTGAATTATCACAGGCAATTCGTGAAGTCTTCGAAAGGTCTGGTATTCAAAATGATCCTGAGTATGTTGCAAAGATGGAAAGGAATTCCTTTTCGAAACGATAAGTATCTTACTAACGAAAAATATTAAAGGCTCCTAGAGTATATGAAACGAATTAAGCTTGATGATAAGTAATATTTAAGATGTCATTCTTTTTACGTGTATTCAACTCGGTTACTTCATAGCATACAATGCAACGTGTGTTTAATCTGGTCGTTCAAAAAGTCTTGTCTCTTTGTTATTTTACTTTCTTGTGCTTATCTTTCCGTCACTTGTAAGGAATATATTCATTACGTTTTTGTTATTATCTGGTTTCTTAGTGTTTCATTTCTAACGGAGATTTCCAGCAATCCTAGACAAGTTCTAGTGGTTTGTTTCAAGTCTGAGGCACTTGCTGAATCATCCAATTCCATAGCGCTTGATTATCTCTGTCCACTTCGTTTGCTAAGTTTTCATAAATGGCTTTTGAACGTGTAGGATCATATTCCGCCAGAAACTCTAAAAGAAATCTGTTCGAAGACGGAAGTAATTTTTCTAATTGATTTGCAATCCAAGCCACTTGATTTGGTCCTGCTTTTTTCAAAATTCTGTAGAAGTTAGTAGAAAACTTCCAAATGAACGTTGACATACCCACTCAAGTAGTTCCATGCACTTTGATTGTCTGATGCTTGAGAGAGCTTGACATAAAGAAACTCCAGTTCTTGTTGCAAGCTTCGCTCGTGATTAGCATTTGATTCGAAAAGAACAAAAAACCGATGGTTCCATGCAGAATTGTTATACACATCTTCTTCTAGCAGATTGTCAATCAAGCTTAACTCTTTTGTATAGTCATGAAAATTCTGCAAAATCCACAATCGGTAACTCCAAACGTGGTAGTTTTTACTATCTAGGTCAAACATGCGCTTTGTAAATTCAAGCTCATGTAAATAGTCTTTTGTAATTCCTAATAATTTCTGTCTATGGTGCCAAACCTGATAGTTTTTCTGAAAGTCTTCGATGACTGAGTCAAGCCACGCCAACTCATGCGGAATGAGTTCTGGAATATGTTTCAGAGTTTGGAACCGGTAGGCCCATACCGTGTAATGGGCTGGGTTATGCATAATAAGAAAGCAGGTCAAGTTGAATGCCCGTATGGAATATTCTTGCTTGGCAGCTAAGGCGCGAAAATAAGCCATTCCCTGTTCGTAGTCTTTGGAATAGTTTATTTTTGCTAATGGATTTACTCCATCGTCCTGTGGTATAGGTGTCAAGGCCCCATACTTTTCAAAATCTAAAATTTTTACCAATTCTTCTTCTAATGGCTCCATGGAATCTATATTTGCAAAATAAAATACGATATATCAAAATTAGGTTTTAGTTTTCCTTTTTTTCTTAAATAAGTAGAAAGAAAGTAAATAAATTGTATGAATACAGAATGTAGACCAACTGTTTCTTTGTTGCTTTCTTGCTATTGTTCTCTTCTGAGGGAGGCAGAGGAAGAGACTAAAATGGGAATTACTCGATGCAAAAGAACGTGAATTTTTTTTGAAAAGAAGGAAAATTATATAGGAAAAGTTTTGTTCACAAAAGCAACCCACAGCTTGTCGAGTTTCATAGGTTTGTTCCAAAGGATGTCTCTGTATAGTTATCTCATTTCAATGACAGTTTATAGAAAAAGGAAAAAAATAAGGAAACAATAGTACCAAAGCAGATTGCTTCTAAGTCCATCCAGAGTTTTGCTAGAAACAGCGTCTTTCAGAGAAACAATTTCTGGTATTGGATTGTAAACGATGCGATTCTACCCTGTACTGCAGCAGCAAAAGGTCTAGAAAACGAATGGTTTGCTATATGAATGTGTATGGAGTCAGCTCTTGTTCTGGTGTCAAAATTCCCTTTCATGCAATGGTCAATACTGTGGGTAAATAAAACAAATTCCTTCACAAACTGCTGAGCAATCTACACTTCGAGCATGTAAAAACTCTTAGGATTGGAAAGGATGAATGAGTAATGGAACTTTTGTTTCATGCCATGTCCTTTCTGATGATTTTGCATTGTAACATAAAAGGAAAGGGACTTGCAACACCGGGGTACAAAGGAGATTGGCGGAGCATACCAAATCAATACCAAAGTTATGAACGCTATACTCTTTCCCAAGGCTTCCCGAGGACCTGTCAAATATCGCTGACGCTGCAGTAAAAACAAAGCTATTACGATCAGTCTCAACAGCTATCTTTGAGACTTTTTTATATAAACAACCCTCCACTCCTATGATGGATAGCGCCCTTCCTTTTTTCTTTCATTTCCTATAATCATCCAAATAGGACATTCACGGGATTCCTAACATGACGATCGCATCCGCCTTTATGGAATCGTCGTAATAAAGAGGTCTATTTCACTTATGTTTTACGTTTCTTTTTATTTCTTTTGATCTGCTATTTTACTTTGAAACTGCTCTACATATACTGCCATAGTTTCTATAGCTATAGCTGACTTGCTACACTACCGAATGTTTATGAATTCATTTAAATGTATTATATTTAATTATACTTATTTTTTTTTTTCTCTTTTTTTTAAGTACAATTTTAACTCATTGTAGACGAACAATGGACTCTGGCGTAAATTTCTATATGGATTTTTCTAGATGATTAAAGAAAAAGTATCTGGATTACAGTCCTTTTTTTCGTTCCTCGAGGGAATTGACTCAATGCAAGCATCTTTTTATTAAAAGTTCGGGAATTTAAGTAAATTACAATAAAAAACTCACTCCTTTTGCTGGATACGAAGGTAAAAATTGTGAAACAATCGATTGGTAAATTACGTTTCGTTTTTGGTTCGTTTCTATAGGTAAACGAAAAGTCTGATTGATTCAAAGGTTTTTGAATTCATTGTCTTTATTTATATCTATTTATTATATCTATTTATTTTTCTTTTGGCGTCATTTGGTTATTTTATATGAAGCGAGACAGACCTTCCGATCATAATAATTTATTCCCTGAAGAGGGTCAGATCTCTTTAGTCTCTCCCTTCTCGTCCCTTGATTCACATTTTCCTGCTAAAAGACCACGGTTCAGTTCAAACTCGGTTCAACCAGATGTGCCGCCTTCCTTCCATCAAACGTTTCCTCCTGTCTCAGCTTCACCTGCTGGTTCTCGAAAACGATCTCGTTCAGATGAGACTCTCATGGATGAAGATTTGACACAACAGTCGCTCGTTTCTCCAGACAACAGCTCTTCAACGATTCCGACGAGTACCCCTCAGTTGCAGCAAGTCCCACAAACGGATGGTTTGCCAAGGAAGAAGGTCTCATTAGAATCCAACCATCCACATTTCACAACTCAAGTAGTCGATCTGTCTACGGGTCGTCCATTAGAACAAGCACCTGAACAAGAATTAGATTTTGCCCCCGATGCATCAAAATCTTTAGTTCGTCACCCAAATCGTTTAAAGGTACTCTCTCTCAAATCTCCCTCTCCTTCTTATTTTCCTTCCTCCATGCTACAGTTTCGACCATCAAATAGTTGGGCTTACGATTCTCATTTCAAGGATAATGATGAACCTCGATTAATTCAGTACTACCCAACTGAAATTACACCGTATTCGACGGTTGAAGAACCCAAGCCTTCTGATTCCAAAGACTTTGCGAAGCATGAACCATCCAGTTCTGTAGTGATTGAAGAACTAGATGATGATTATGATGAATTTAACGATATTAACATCCCTAGTAAGACAACCAGTAGTCCTACAACATTTTCTTCTTCCCCCCACGACCAAGATGCAATGGACATCGAATGAGTACGAATCCTGCATCACCAAGCTTCCCTTAGTTTAAATTTCGCTGTTTGTTTTCTCGTTTATAATTTATTTAATTCTGAAAAATATATAAAAATCCGTATTATTAATTATCCCAAAATACCTACCTAACCATTCCAAAATTCTACTAGTTTTTGTTTCCGTAAGTATAATTAAGCACTCACGGGACTAGTCAACTTTTCACTCGTTCTTCAAAAGATTAATATAACAGAGTTGTTGATTTATTGAACTGTTTCCCATCTTCCATTAGTACGCTTTTGTAAAACTTTTTCAGCAGGAAGATTCCATGAAGCTCCACCTGAACCCGTATGTGAACTCAAAATTGGTATAACATAACACTCCCGTTTAACACCATCGTCAATGTAGCGGATAGGAGGATAAGACAAAGGTTTTGAGTAAGATATTAAGCTAGAATTTTTTGCCAGTCGGGCCAATTGTTGTCCAGTAACCGATGTCAAAGGTTCCATATACACACGTCCAGTAGAGCTTTCGTGAAGACGTTGATACACAGCATACTGAGGCTGGAAGTTAGGAGAGGTGTCTGGAACAAATCGTGCCGTTTCAGCTCCACATGGAAATAATGTGACATACCCTCCCTTTTCTTGGTCGTAGGACGCAATCTGGTCAATGTAGGAAGAAGCAATGAACTGTCGTAATGCCTTGATTTGTATATCAGACGGAGGCTTCAGTTGAATCTTAGTGAAATCATTATTGGTACTCGAAAGATACCTCTTTAAAAGGTTAATTAACTGTTTTCTGAGGTTAAATACTTCTTCTAAAGCCTTAAAAAGAAGATAATTTTCTTTGCAAAACCTAATTTTATCGGCTGCATAGTCATAAGCACATACTGCACTTAGGTACCTCAGGGCAGGAGAATCTGTATCTATAGCTTGAAATTTAAAAAGAGCGTTATAAAATCCACGTAACCTATTTTTATGTTCCTCACGTTGCTTCAAGTCTTCGTTTTCAATAATTTCAGTTTCTTCCGACACTGATTCTTTTCTATTAGCGTCATATAAAAGTGATTGCTTGGACACAAACAACTGATTAATAGAAAGCGCTGCAACCAATGCAATAACGTAAGGAAGACACCCATGTTGCTGACCAATTATAAGCATTTTGGAAAATCTTGGAGAAAGCGGAAACAACGACATTTGTTCTCCTAATTTTGTGAGCTGGCCTTCACGGTCAATAGCGCCTAGTACTGATAGTAATTGCAACGCTTTTTGAAGGCTTGCACGACTAGGTGCAGTAGGATAAGGAAAATTCGCAACATTATCAATGTTCATACTTTTCATTTGCAACACAATACTTTCAACTGGTACGCGTAAAATCTCTGGCAAAGAATGTTGACTAAATTCTCTATCGTATACGGCAGAAGAGTAGAGTCGATAGCAGTGACCTGGTCCAGTACGGCCTGCACGACCAGCACGTTGATCCGCGTTTGCTTTGCTGATCCAGCTAACTTCGAACTTTTGAACTGAGGTATGTTCATTATAAACGCGTTCTTTTGCTTTTCCACAGTCCACTACATATCGTACATTCGGAATAGTGATAGAGGTTTCTGCGATGTTGGTAGCAACAATACACATTCTATGACCCTCCGGTGGTTTTTCGAAAACCTTTAATTGATTCTCAGTAGTCAATAGAGAGTAAAGGGGCAAAACATGCATCGGCTCAGATTCTTTGTCAAGTTCAATAGCGTCTAATTTTGGCGAGATATTTTTCTCTTCGTCTTCATTGTCAGATTGAATATCTTCATTTTCTAACGAAATTTCTTTCCTAGAAACAGCAACACGTCCATTCTGTTTACGTTGAGGCTTATAAGATCGAATAAACCGTTTTCGGAGCATTGAACATAATTGCTCCACTTCTTGCTGACCTGTTAAAAATACCAAAATTGCACCAGCCGGTAATCGATTATGGATTTTACACACTTTGTCATATGCATCTTCTATATAATTTGGCTTCGTTGTTCTGTTGAAATGGATGGAGACAGGATATTGTCTAGCATCAATCTTCAAAATTGGGGGAGATTGAGCAAAAAGCTGTTTGTTTTCTGCAAAATCAGAAACACGAAGTGTGGCAGACATGATCAACAATTTAAGAGGTTTTATCTTTGGATCATTCTCACTCATTTCTCTTCGCAGACGAACGATACGGCTTAGAAGACCAAGCAGGATATCGGTATTTACACTACGTTCATGAGCCTCGTCAACGATGATGGCCGAATACGAACTCAGCAAAAAATCAGAGGATAATTCACGAATCAAAACACCATCAGTCATAAATTTAATAGCTGTTTCGGGATTAACAGTACTGTCAAACCGAATTTGATGACTAACTTTAGAGGAAAAGCCTGTGAGTTCTTCGGCAACCCTCTTAGCAATACTAACGGCAGCTACACGACGAGGCTGTGTTACTGCAATCATACCAGGGGTATCTGATTCAGGAGAACCGAATCCAGCTTCAAATAAAAATTGAGGAACTTGAGTCGTCTTACCACTTCCGGTAGCACCGCAGACTATAACCACATCATCAGCAAACACATGTTCCATAATACTTTGTTCTTCTGCAACTATAGGAAGTGCAAGTCTGGATTCTTGAATCTCGGGAGGACGATTTACGATTTTGTACGTTGTCTTTCGATTTTTCACTTCGTCAACACCAACAGGTAAAACATCAGGATCTTCTTCAGTTCTTTTGAGTTTTCTCGGATTCCTTATGCGCTCACGGATCTGGTCGTTTTGAGCTGAAATAACAGATTCTTGCTCTTCATGCTCGAATGAGTCACCAGGAAGAAGTTGTTGTGTTGCCCAAGACTTGAAACGGTTAGCTCTTTCAGAAACATCGTTCTCGTTAGCTTCATCACTTTCATCAGCACTAGCTTCTTCTTCTGACGAATTTAGGTCAAATTCTTCACTATGAAGATCGGGATGCTGCACAGCTTCAGGTTTTTCCTCAGTCACTGGTTTTGCCTCAATGACTTCTTTTGAAAGACCGTTAACGTTCTTGTCAGACGCAGCTTCCTCTTTGTCGTTTTCAATAAGGCTGTCTTCTGAGAGTGATTGATCATCAGATCCTGTATCAGCTTCGTCTTCTTCTTCACTATCTGTGCTTAAATAATCCTGTTCATCAGAGTCATGATCAGCATCATCAAAATCTTCGTTCTTCCCCCATCGAAATGATCTCTTCCGTTTGGGAGGCAGAACTTTCAAAGGAGCAGCAGTGACAGCCCCAGAGGGAGCAGAAGTGCTGGAGAATCCGAATCTTAAACCAGAACCGGGGGCACTTTTGTTTGTAGGGGTGCTAGCTATGCTCGTATCGGACGTTGATGGCTGAGACTCGTTCACTTCGACGGACGTATATAGACGGCTAGAAGGATCAGAGATTGGTAATCCCTTCTTCTCTTCCAACAAGGATCTCTGTAATCGTTCCTTAGCAGTCCTTGGCTTTCCTAGGTCCTTGGTACTATAGAGTAGAGATGTGTCAACGCGTTCCTCGGCAATTTTCGCCATTAAAGCTGCAGAGGTCTCTTTCTTTAATTTATTTTCCTAAGCTTGTTAGCATTTCTCACCCAAAATTGATAGATACACTAAATTTAACTTACGATATATTTGTCCAACCGCTTTTTCTTTTTACTAGACATAGTGGTGCCTTCATTTTCTTTCATCAATTGGTCTTGTAATTGGCGTCTCCTCTCCTCTTTTTCCTTTTTATCTTCATCCGTTATTACGTCCACGTTGGAATCAGTAGTTTGAGGCTCCTCAAGGATGGGTTTTGGGTGTTCTGGAGAGGCATCGTCTTGTTCTCGTACAGAGCGATGCAATCGTGCCTTTTTCAGGTTAAGCATCTTTTGGATGCCGCTCTGACGGCCTTTCTCATTAAATCTCTTCCTTAAGCGGCCCATTGTTTACGGAATCCTATAATTAAATAAAATTGGTTAAGGGCGAAGAAGCTAATTGCCAAATGTTTGAAAGTATTTACAAAATAGGGAAGTACGTTTCGTTGTGTTAATTGTAGCAAGAAAAGAAGACAATAAAAGAGATAAATTATAATAGAAACAAGTGAACTGTTAGAAAAGACAATTATAAAAAGCTCGTCACCTCTGCTATGTTACTTTTGCGAAAAAGTTTGTGTTGCTCAATTATGAAATTCAGATGATCGAGAATTGTATAAAATTGTATTAAAAAATATAAAAAAATATAAATTAAAAATGAAAATTTCTTTTACTGAAAATTATCAAGATCTTTATAGTTGGTTCGTAGATTCAATCGAGTATTATTTTTCTAGCAGGCCCTGGTGAAAATTAGTACACTGACATAACTGATAGGTTGCTTGTTTACTGTATTTGATCTAACAAATACTGCATTTTCAAATAATTTTCGTTTTCAAACTGCACGGTCTGTATAATAAGCAAAAGTGATATTGAATTTTACAAAGGCGAATAGCCTAGTTGGTTAATCCATTGATTCTTTATTTATTATATTTTCGGGAGTTCAAAAGAATTGCAAGTCAGATATGGACATATATATTTATATTTATATGTATATTTACATTTATTAAGTTATAATCCAAGGTTTATAGTAAAAAAAAAAAAAAAAAAAAAGGTAATGAAACCAGATTTTGAAAGCTTCTCTAATAGGTAAACCTAGGGAGTGAAAGAGAAGATGATTGAAATATAGAAAAATAAATAAAAACCAGAGCTAAAAATTCCTATTTGAATCATCTGTTTTATAATTTAATCCAAGTTTTGTTTATCCTTCTTTCCACTTAGTATGTTTAAGTGGAAATGAACTCCAAAATGTCTCTATATTTAATCGATTTTATGGACAACAAATGATTTCCTCTCATTGATATCATATGTGAAAACTAAGCAACCGTTTTCTTCCTTTATAAAACCTCATTTCACCTCTTTGTTTACTACAGCACTACAAGAAAGTGCTAAATTTATCCTTATTTTACATAACACACTTTTCTACCATGTTGCTTCACATCCCGTAAACCAATGTAAGGTAATCTACGGAAATATCGCTATCCCAAATTGAAACATAGAAACATACATGAGTCTCTTTAAGCTTACTGAGAGGTACATCCACCACGTTCGTGCTCACTATAAGAGCGGTATTTTCGCCAAGGCAAATTTCGCTCGATTGAAAGCACAACGCTCTCATACCTGCACTTATATATACGATGAAACCAGCATAGGATTCCTTTGATTAAGCATTGAAGCGCGATACGCTATTGTAATTTTAACGATAAACGTATTCGTTATACTTAGTAAACAAAGCATTTCATCAAATTTCTATCTTTTTTGATCATTCATTTTGTTTATTTCTGCTCTTGAACAAAAAAACAAATGGAGTTATACAGTGCTTCGGATCCTTCAGCTCAAAAAATGAGTGGTATGGGTGGTATGGATATGGGACACTCTTCTTCACACTCTTGCAAAATGAGCATGCTCTGGAATTGGCATACCATCGACTCATGTTTTCTATCAGAGTCTTGGCACGCTTATACCGGAAACAAATTTGCAGGCTCTCTTATAGGCATCATCTTCTTTGCTATTGCCATTGAGGCCTTCAAGAGAATCCAAAGATTGTTTGACGCTTACGTTGTTCAGCATTCGAATGGTAAAACGCTTCAAGGGCCCATGCGATTGTTTTTTCCTAGTGGTACTCCTCATGTGAATGTGTTCCAACAGTTCATTCGTGCTTTACTTCAAATGTGCTATTACGGAGCAGCTACTATTCTCATGCTTATTGTCATGTCGTTCAATGGATACGTAATTTTATTCACCTTTCTTGGCGCCTGGATAGGATACTTACTATTTTCTTGGGACAAGGACAGTTATGGTGAACATTCATCCGGTATAGGTTGTTGCTAGGTTCCTATCCGTTCAATAAATTGCTTACAAAATGAGACATAGGGTTATACACATAGGGCCTTCTCCAAGATTGAGAGTTTTCATTGAATGATCCGTTACTCTCCCTTTTGGCCTAGCAGCAACTTTTTGACTTCTATGACATATTTATTACCGTTGTTATTTCTCTTCTTTTTTCTTTTTTATCCTTTATAATCTGATGAAAAAAATTGGTTTCACTCGTTTCCAAACCAAGTCTTGCATCTCCTATCTTTTCTTTCTTCCTCCGTTTAAACAGGAATGCTTTCACTGGTATTTGACTTATTTAATTTGCTTCTATTGCAAACGTTCTACTGTTGATGAAGTCTCGAAATTAATACCAACCAGTCTTATGGTCAACTATGTAAAAAGTATTCGTTCCTTTTTTTTTTTTTCTTCAAGGGTTTCCAAGGATTGTGTAAATAAAATAATCTTTTGATATACTTATACATGCAGGTTTTACCTTTTAAATTGTTAGATTTTCCCTCATGTATGTTTCCAACATTATATGGCGCCTTCTGGCGTACTAAGATACTTTCTCAATCAAGTAAAAAAATGCACATATGCAATTTTCAGGTTAAATTTCTTTTTCTTTGTTAAATTTCTTATTCATTTTTGGGATTTCGTTTACTTTCTTTATATTTCTTCCAGCTCCATACATACTGCAACACATCCTCTAGCAAAGAAAATCATACTTCCACCATAAAACAGGTCTCTGTTCATTTTCGCAGTATTCATCGTTTATTAGAAATAGCAAAGTCAAATTTCTTACTTTTTGTACAGTATCTTTAATCCATCATGTCGTTAGAACCTTTACCCGGAACTTTGGAGAATTTGTTGCACCAAAAGACCTTGAAATGGGTTTTCGTTGGTGGTAAAGGTGGTGTTGGTAAAACTACCACTTCTTGCTCTTTGGCTATTCAAATGTCCAAGGTTCGTTCTTCTGTTTTGCTGATATCTACCGACCCTGCTCATAACTTGTCTGATGCATTTGGAACAAAGTTTGGAAAAGACGCCACGAAGGTTCCTGGATTTGAGAACCTTAGTGCCATGGAGATTGACCCTAATCAATCCATTCAAGAAATGACAGAGCAAGCTGACCAGCAAAATCCAAACAATCCCATGTCTGGTATGATGCAAGATTTAGCTTTTACAATTCCCGGTATCGATGAGGCCCTCGCTTTTGCTGAAATTTTGAAACAAGTTAAATCTATGGAATTTGATTGTGTCATTTTCGATACCGCCCCCACCGGTCATACATTGAGATTTTTGAATTTCCCAACTGTCCTTGAAAAGGCTCTTGGCAAACTTGGTGGCCTCTCTAGTCGCTTTGGTCCTATGATCAACCAAATGAGTAGTGTTATGGGCGTCAACGCAAACCAAGAAGATATTTTTGGCAAACTTGAAGGCATGCGTGAAAACATTTCTCAAGTGAACCAACAGTTTAAGAATGCAGATCTCACTACCTTTGTTTGTGTTTGCATTTCTGAATTCCTCTCGCTTTACGAAACTGAAAGAATGATTCAAGGTACGTATTTACGGCATTCCTTTTACGCTTTGTGTTATGCTATATGCACATAAAGTCGTTTTTCTATTTTACTAACTGTATAGAATTGGTTGGATACGAGATTGACGTAAAGAACATTGTAGTTAACCAACTTTTATTGGATCCTACTACAACTTGTCCTCAATGCCTTGCTCGTAGAAAGATGCAGCAAAAGTATCTAGACCAAATTGAAGACTTATACGAAGACTTTCACATTGTTAAAGTACCTCAAATCCCTGCAGAAGTTCGTGGCCCTGAGGCTTTGAAATCCTTTTCCGAAATGTTGGTCAAGCCTTATGTTCATCCATCTCAAAAGTAAATGAAATAGAATGAGTTTTTTGTTTTTGGCTCATATTTACACTTTGGATTGTGACCGTTCCTTCTGGCAATTAGACGTATCTTCCCAAAGGTTTTGACTATATTTTATTCTATGTTAAGGTCATCCATCCTCATAATGTCAATGGTAATTTCTTTGCCTGAGCAATTTATTATCGAAACTGATTAAAAACATTTCGTAGGAAAGTAGCCTTTAGTTTTAAGAGAGTATAAACTATAAACCATCTTCAATCTTTTCTCACTTTACTTATCAATTCATCGTAAATTAAACATAATTTATATTGTTTATTGATACATCGCAACAAGCAGCATAATGCACCCATCTAAATTCATTTGCATCTGTCCTTCGTTAAGCATTAATGCATATAGGGCTTTTCATTATATATATATAACGTTACAATTATAGGGAGAATTCAGCTTGCAATTTTCTTAATTCCTCTTCCTCATCTACTTGAGGTTTACTTACAGAAGGAAGTTTGTCAACTTGGGTGCTTGTAGGGACCCCAGGAGCATGAATGGGTGGCTTCTCAGCTCCAAGCATCTTGTTATCGAGTTCCATCTGTTGTAATTCGTCCAATTCGTTTGCCAGTTCGTCTTCATCCACGTCTGCGTTCAAGCCTATGGGTGTACTAATCATAGCAGAAATTTCCTCTGAAACAGCTTGTTGATCACGAATTTTGTCCATAATGTTATCAACCTTGTCAGCATCTACACCTCGTTGGATTTGCTTCATAGCCTCAGCACCTTGTCGCATAGCTTGTAAAGTTTCAAAGTTGAGATTCGCATTCTGAATGGTATAGAGTTGCTGCTCAATATTCATACGACTTCCCTCTATCTTCTCTAGTTCATTTTCGTACATTTTTTTCCTCTTTAAAGCCGCCAATGCCGCTGAAAGCAGTTAGTAATCTCGTCAATATTCATTAAAGCATTTCTTCTGCCTTGTTCGTTCATACCTCTTTTGTTTGTAGTCGCATTCTTTTTAGCAATCTCATTTTGTTCAGCAATTTGACGCTCTAGTCTTTGTTCTTTCTTTTCAAACATAGACAAAGTATCCTGAAATCTAGTGATCGTATCCTTTGTCACATCTTTGCTACGACCGGCTCCTCCAAACCACTTCAAGAAATTTGACATCTTCCTCTATAATATTAATCACCTTTAAGTCTGTCTGTTTCAAGAATTCTTGTAGTAAAGATTGTTGAGTACGTAAATCTCAAGATACACCAATTGCAACTTGAGAAAAGAAAAATTTCCCTCAGATCTTGAAATTATAAAAGAAAATTTAAAAGAAAAACAAATTTGAGCCAAAATACACCTGTTTGGGTTTACGCCAGATGTTGTGAAGTGGGAAAGTGTTTTTACTAACACCAAATCACTACCACTCCATCAACTACACATTCGGTGGAAAAGTATAGGTTTCGGTTAAAAGGGCGAAATCCCCTTTTCATTTCGCCAGTAATCTATTTTTTTGATAGAAAATAACTTGCGCGCTTTGTTGCGGTGGCAATTGGCTTTGATATTCTCAAGATTGAGGAAAGGAAGGTTTTGGTATAAGTGTCGGCATGCCTGACGCAGTTCGACAAGATGCAGCGGAGCAGAAATCAGGTACCAACAGGGTTCAAGCCTATGCTAAACTAGAATTTGATAAGTTTTCTTTCTTTGTTCAGACCCTGCAAGTTACAATGGGTCGAAAAGCCAGTAATTCTAGTGATTGCGATGTACATCTGGGAGACACGAAAGCCATCTCTCGTCAGCATGCTAAAATTGCATATAGTTTTCCCAACCAGAGGTTTGAATTATCTGTCATCGGGAAGAACGGTGCTTTTGTTGATGGCGAATTCGTCGAACGCGGGTCCACCGTCCCACTGCATAGTGGAACTCGCGTTCAAATTGGACAAATTTCTTTTTCGTTTTTACTTCCAGAAGGGCTACAAAAACAGGAGCAAAGAAAATCTGAAGCTGCCGCCCCTGGCTCACATAGGATGAACACGACCGTAGCTCCGGTGATCGAACCAAAACCGTCCATTGACCAAAATCAAGATTCCTTATATACTTCTGTAAAGGAAGAAGTTGAACTGGATTCTACTAAATTGTCTCCTCCCCCTCTTATGACCACCGAGCCTGCACCAGCAAATTTATTTGAGCATCCTGGTGCAATTGATCCTCATCCATTAGAATCTCTCTCCTTCTCTTCCGAATACAAACCACAGACTGTGTCTCCTCAATTTATTCAGCGTCAGTCATCAAACGCTTTTTCGTCGGTACCATCTGCTAACCCTGAAACTTTACGAAATCTCTCTGAGACTCCTCCTACTAGTTCCATTCCCACAAAACATGGTTCTGTTGATCAAGAATCGAATCATCCTTCGACATCATTGCCTTTGCATCCAGGTTTGGAATCAAGTCAACCACAAAATTATGGTGATATCTACCAAAAACCTAACCTTTCTTACGCAAATTTGATTGCACGTACCCTTATTGCCAATTCTAACAAGAAGTTGACATTAGGCGATATTTGCGAGTGGATTTCCAATACATGGCCCTATTATCGATATCAACCACCAGCGTGGCACAATTCCATTAGGCATAATTTATCTCTGAATAAAGCATTTATACGAATTCCAAGGAGGCAAAATGAGTCCGGAAAAGGATCATTTTGGATTTTGGATCCCTCTTATATTGATCAGTTCGAAGGGAATATGTTTCGGAAAACTAAGAAACCTGCATCTACTCCTACAGGAGCTGCATCTTTTGAGCATGAGAATATTGAACCCTATCGAAGTGATGGTACTGCAGGCGGTAAAATCAGTTCTTCAAAGACTTCTGACTCTTCTCAACGAGCATCTATCGCAAAGGACAATGGATCAGCAACCAAAGAAGAAAAACCATCATTATTACAGTCTGGCATCCAACCAATTATTATGCTAAATGGAAAATTAGCCTTGAACCCTGAATTTTTCCGGAACTCAAATGGTGAACAGCAAGCACCGAACGAGCAGGCCGTGCATGCAATTTCACTTTTACAAGATCACATTAATCGACAATTGGGACCGGCTGCTGTGAACAACCCAGCACAGGCCACTGCAATAGCAAATGCATTAGCCGTCGCCCTAGCCAAAAAGCTGCAAAAGCAACAGTTACCAACCCCGACTGCTCCACAACAGGATATGAGTCAGCAAACTAAGAGAAGGAAAGCGTCAGTTTCCGCTACTGTGAATCAAAATGCTAGCTCGACAGCATCTTCCTCATCCATTCAACCAAACACTTCCTTTTTTCATATTCCCACACCACCGCCTTCCACTGTGACGTCTGTTCCTCCCCCGTATGTACGACCGCCTGTACATTCTCAATCCAAAGACTCTCCTTATGGCCGAACTATAGAAGACCCATTACCCCCCGGAGCAGTTACTGCATCAACTGCAACTGCAAACTTGACTACTACCTTGCCAGGCTCTTCAGGACAAACAGGCATTGTACCAAACACCTCTGTCTTGACGTCGGATCGGCCTCTGTATGTAGCATCTCATGAATCGAGTGGAGAGAAGCGGCCAAGTTTTACGATGTCCTCATATACTGCCTATTCACCCAGTAGAGGAGCACAAGAAAGTTCCTTTCATACAACACCTAGTCTGCATTCGGAGCATGGAGGAGAGAGCGAAGGGGGAGGATCGGAAAGTCACCAAGATGCAATGCATTCAACAGGGGATGTTCTCCGAGGAGTGAAACGACAATTTGATGAAGCACCGTCTTCATTTACCTGACTATGAATTCTTGATCATGCATTGGACCTTTGTTTTTTTTCTTTTTCCGAATGGGATTCATCCAAAGTTGTAATGAATGATGAAAATGATAACGATTCTACCAGCAGTGGCTCTTCCTATTACTTGGCATCCAGGATTGTCGATTGTTGATATGTGAATATACGTTGTCTTTATCTTAATGTTTCCGATTTTAATATTTCTATCTTAATTCACTATACCACTAACCTAACATTTTACCCACCCATATTCCCTCCTTTTGAACGCACTTAAGATTAGCAGTGTTTTCTAAAGGGTATTTTAATGGCCCACAATCTTGCTTTCTTGTGTGTTCTTCAAAATCTCTTGGACCGTTAGTTATTTCATGCGTTTGTATATAATAAAAGTCAGTTACTACTCATGAAAAGCAATTTCACCTTACGTATCATTTACGTTACAACTTTTGACTCATAAAAAAGTAAATAAGTAAATAAAGATCCATTTCTCATTCCAATTTTTGACTCAAGCATAGCTCGTTCTCGTCCATGTTTAAATGATTTCTGACTTGCATCGTTTGTCGCATTTCTCTTTTCTTGTTTTCTTTTATAACCTCGTTCTGAGTTCGTAAATGGTTTAACGAGCTTTGTTATCAATTTACCTTAGAAGAAACGATAGTCCCGCTCATGGATACCTGATCCCGGTGTGGAGTGCAGAAATGCTGCTGTGGAGTACAGCGTATATAATGACGTAGATATTGGGTCACCGTCGGTCAACTAAAAGAAGCACTCAACTGACCAACTTGATCTTAGCATATATCAAGAAGAACAAGTAAACGAGGAAGTGTTTTTGATTAAGGAAACTAGACAAACACAAGTATTGATATTAAAGAAAGAATCAAGGCGAGAATCACGAACCAAAGCTGAAAAAAAGTGAAAAAAACGAATAATCTTCAAGATTAGGTGCTATGGTTGCAAATGCTTCTTTTGACAAGCTCATAGAGGAGTTAAAAACCCTTGTGAACGAGCAGTGTCCATCTGATGTCCTCCAACTTTGCTTCGATTTCTTTGCTAGTAAACTGAGAAATGAGCGTAAAGAGATGCTTCGCATGGATGAAGTAATGAGTGAAGGCATTAGCGAAGATGGTTTAGAAAATGATTTTTTGTCAGATCTGAATGAAATGCCAGAAGAGCCTGAAGCGGTGGGTCCTGAAAAGCTGCACACTCCTGAAGCCGGTGGACTGAAAGAAATGAACGTTTCATATCCTCAGAACTACAACTTCTTGCGAAGAAAATCCGTTTCTGCCGAGTCTATGAACCCCAACTCATTTATGAGGCTACCTCGACCACAAGTTCCCTTGAAATCACCTGAAGAGCTGGAACATTTGAAGAAAGCAGTGGGCCACAACTTTTTGTTTAAAAATTTGGATGAAGAGCGATACTTGGAAGTGTTGAGTGCTATGACGGAAAAGCGTATTGGCGAAGCTGGTGTAACATTAATCGTACAGGGCGCAGAGGGTGACTACTTTTACATTGTAGAAAAGGGCGAATTTGATGTGTACAAACGTAACGAACCAAATATTTCGACGGAAGAAGTACTGGCCACAGGTTATGGTGATTATGTCGGTACAATATCTCCAGGGGAATACTTTGGCGAACTCGCTTTGATGTACAACGCACCTCGGGCAGCGACCGTTGTATCCAAGACTCCCGACTGTATTTTGTATGCTCTGGATCGAGCAAGCTTCCATCGTATCGTATTTGAAAATGCTTTTCGCCAGCGCCGTATGTACGAGAGTTTACTGGAGGAAGTTCCCATTTTGTCGGGTTTGGACAAATACCAGCGTCAAAAAATTGCAGATGCCCTTCAAACCGTTGTTTATCCAGCCGGAGGCATTGTAATCCGTCAAGGAGACATTGGAAATCAGTTTTATTTAATTGAAGATGGTGAAGCAGAGGTGTGCAAAGAAGGCAAAGGTGTCGTGGTCACACTGGGTAAAGGCGATTACTTTGGAGAATTAGCTCTGATTCACGAGACAGAGAGAACAGCAACGGTGCGTGCGAAAACGCGCCTAAAGCTGGCCACTTTTGACAAGCCTACCTTCAATCGACTTTTGGGCAATGCCATTGACTTGATGCGCCAACAGCCTCGGGCCGAGCTGGACTTCAAGAAAGAGGAAGAACAGAGGCGCCTTGAATCTCCTCATGGAACAACCGAAGCATAAATTGCATATGAAGAATTTGACTTTTCACAAATGTTATTTTCTATAAATAAGCAACAACGATACGACGCGTAATAATTTAATTAGACAATGCAAATCGCTGCATGTATGTCCAAGAAAGGACGAATTTTATTGATGATTCGTAATGAGTATCTTCAATGGTATGAATTTTGACGAGATTCCGCAACTATCTTTAAGGATTTAATACATGAAGACTAAAAATGCCAACAATTTATATTTTACAAGATTAACTTTTGGATGGAACATTTAATCATATTAAACCCTACCTCATTTCTTTCCATGTGGTATTGGAAGTTTGTTTTGATTCATTTCTTGGATGGTCAATTTAAGGTTTTTTTTTGTTTTTAACTTTATTTCTCATGGCGAAGGGTGGAAAAGCTAGGAGATGCTTGTTTTTGAAGCATTTCAATTTCACTTGTCTCTATTCCTTTCCAAGGTTCGGTTTTCCTTTACGTTTTTATTTTTTTTTACTTTTATTTCTAATTCTATTTCTATTTCCATTTGCGTTTCCGTTTCTAATTTAGCATTTTTTCCTTTTCTCCTGTTAATTTGACGTACATTCTCCAATATAGGAAATTGATATTTTTTAATTCTTAGCACGTAAAATGGAAGCAGACAATGATGCTATTTACAAGAAAGATTGAAAAGGTGGTGTAAACTGTACGGATAGAAGTTTGGTTCTTTTCAGTGAAAGAAAAGGTAGATTTTCGATAGTTGGTATGTGAGTTTTGGATCGAATGTTAAGTTATTGCATTTCCAGTTTTGTCCTTATTTCATTTTCATATAAATTTTGCTTGCGATGTGATTGTAAGACGAGAGAGAGCGTTACAAAGCAAGGTTTTAGAAACAATATATGAAGATTCGATTTGAACCAATAAAAGTTTCTACTTAGCAACGAAGAACGGAGTCTTAGCGAATCCTTCTTCTAAAGCGTTTTCAAGTATAAATTGAAAGTGTAATGATGTTATATGTGTTTCACATACTGATGCTACGCAAGCAGGAAGAAGAGAGATGAAAAGGTTGGCAAAAATTTTTCACTGGACCTAAGTAAATGAAATGTAAATAAAATGAACTATGGGAGAAGAAACTATGGGGGAAAAAGGTTTATAGAAGAAGCCAATGATTTGTTGCTACTGATGGAAGAAAGAACTAAACTAGACTAAATTCAACTTAACTAAGTGAAGTGAAGTAAATAATTCTACTCCACTATGTAGAAAAGTAAAGAAAAGCAGGCATGAACCAATGTAACGCCAGTTTTGTAGGAATTACCAAATGGTGGTGGTTATTATCGAACTTCGTTTATTTTATTTTATGAATAATTTGTCTTCTAACTAAAGTAAAAGGAATAACTAATCTTTGGCTAGAATTTTGTAGAACGGTCTTTATGACTAAACACGAAGCTCAGCGCGCGTGCGCGTCCTTGTAAATTTTTGGAATTCAGCAAAAGCGAAAGTCACCTTCTGCCATCCACTACTACCATTTTCAGACTTAGTAGAACGCAAGAAGCAAAGACCATAACAGATCAAATGGTAGAAAAAACGCTAGCAAACAAGGAAAACGTTGCTGAAAACGCGTCCACGAGCGCACAGGGCGATTTGACCTTGAACAGTGAACCTGTTTCCCTTTCTTCAGCACCCTCTTCGAAAGACAAGAAAAAGGCCGTGAAGAGAGCCAAGAAGAAGGCTTCTAAGAAGAAGAAGAGTGCAGCAGCTGCAGCTGCTGGTGACTCTACTTCTGAGCAAAACCCTTCTTCAGCCATGCGTACAGAGACCATAACTGAAGCTGAAGAGGAAAAAGAGCACGGAACAGATGCTGCTGCTAAAGACTTCCCTCACCAAGCTACTAGTGCTAGCCCTGCTGCCGTAGAAATAAGCAGCAGCGACAATAGCAGCATTCACAGCGAAGACCAAAAGTCTGCATTTACAGAAGCTCCCAGCGCTGCTGAAGAAATTGGTAAGTGAAAACTAGAATCTATAATGTGCGCGTTCCTCCTCTCTTTAAATATATTCAACGAAGGCGAAGGAAGCGCAGCGGTAAACGTGGCTGACTTACGAAAGAAATACCTCACAGCCATGCCAGTCACTTGTATCCCTTTAGATACAAGTCCAAAGAATTCTCCTGCCCAGGAAACCACTTACTAACTAGAAACGTTTTAGAAACTTCCAAGAACAACGCTACCGAAGAAACACAGGGTTCGAACGAAATGCGATCCGGTGCTTACAAACCAGAGACTACTACATTCACTGAAGTTTCATCTCCACCAACCACTGGTGTTGCAAAGAATCTTGAAAATACGACTGAAGACGCACCTGTCGCTGAAAACAAGCCCATTGAGCCTGAAGCCAATATGATTTCGAAAGAGTACAACCAGAAGCGCGGTGACGAGAACGCTCCTTCCAACGTTAAGCCCGATGTTGATGCAAAAGCCTTTGCTAGCAAGGCTACATCCGCTTCCGAAAATGCTGATGCATCCGCTAGCCCCGTAGGTCCCTTCTCCACGAGTTTGGCCATGACTGAGCAAATCGGCACTGACGTACAACAGGAGATCGCTTTCGAGGATGCACAAGACTTTTCTTACAATGACTCAGCCGTCCCTCATACCACTACTGTCACTACTGAGGGCACTTCTACCGCTCCTTCTACTGCCGCACAAAGTACCACCACCAGCAAACACGCAGAAGACTCTACTGAAGGTATAACCATGCCTGGTAGCTTGACATCTCCCGCTGATGCTGAACAACCTGCTTCCTCTGGACAATATGCTTCCGTCAAGCAGCCTGAAACTTCTTCTAAACCTGCCGACACTGCCGCTGCTGGTGCTGGTACCTCTACCGAAGCTGCCAAGCCTGCCTCCGATGCTGCTGATGCTGCCGCTACCAAGAAGGCTACTGAACCTACCGCCGGTGCTGGTGATACTACCGCTACCAAGGAGGCTGTTGAACCTACTGCCGGTGCTGGTGCTGCCGCCAAGGGTGCTCCAGAATCTGCTGCTGGTAAAGCTCAAGCCCCGTCAACTGCCGCTGACAAAGCTGAGGCTGAGGCCTCTGATAAGGCTCCTGTTACTGAGGGTGCTAAAGGTGATGCTGCTCCAAAATCACCAGCTAAGGATGCCCAAAAGTCTCCTTCCAAGGAAGGAGACAATTCCCTCAGCCCTTCCAAGTCCACAAAATCTGCCAAGGCTCCCAAGTCAAAGGGCCCTAAGGAAGCTGGTGCTGATGCTGATGCTGATGCTGATGCTGGTGCTGGTGCTGGTGCTGGTGCCCCCGCTGGAGCCGGGGCATCCTCTGAAGCCAAGCCCACCACTGGCCAAGCTGGTACTGAGGCTGCTGATGCTGAGAACAAAACTAAAAATGCTACGGAAGCTCCTGCTAAGAAGTCTTTGTTTAAGCGTATCAAGAAGGCTATTCGTAATGTATTCCATTAATTGCAATTCCTATATAGATGTCATTTTTAATCAGTGTGTACGGTTCTGACTAAAGAGAACTGTATACAAGATTGCGCTTTTAGTGAAAATACTTACTTGGTTTCATGTTTGACTTGATGAAACACTCAACTTTAAGTTAGGTAAACTGCATAATGGATGCGGTGTCAACTTTTCGTAAAATTGTTTTCTCTATCTTACTCTTCTATACCTCAATTCTCAGCAATTCTCGTGCTGTTTTATGTTGCACTGATAGGATCACTTCTCAAGTGAATTAAGAAGTGAATTTGGCCCTCGCTTTTCTATGTATCTTGAACTTTGTCTTTATTATTTTTATTTCAATGTTGCCTTTTGATTTCATTCGCTTTTCAACGGGTGATTGAAAACATTCAGCTGCTTCTTTTGCTTTGTGCTTTGTTTTAATAGACCGTGTTATGCCATCCAGGTTAATAAGTCAAAGGCAAAAATAAAATGAATTTCTTTAGGTAATTCTTTTTTTTCATAGTCTCTTCATTGTCGTATTCATTTTTCAATTTTCTTTTTATCAAATAAAACCAACTATGTTGCAGAAATTCGAGGAAGCACTTTGAAGTCATGCAAGCGTGTTTAAAGGATGCCTTTTCATTCCTACAAACAAGTTCGCCAAATACATATTCTGTATAGAATTTGAGGAACTTCTTTCTTTTCCGCTTTTTGTTGTATTTAAGAAATCATAAACTGTTGAAATTTCACTAGAACCATGAAAGCCGTTATTCAAAAAGTTTTGAATGCTTCTGTGACAGGTATGAGTTCCCAATGCGAGTTCTCTACTTTTCTTGTGGTTATATAAGCTAACAAGTAAATTATAGTTGACAATAGTGTCGTCTCTTCCGTCCAAAAAGGGTAAGTAATAGTGCTCCAAACACTGGAATTATCGATTGTTAACCATCGTACATTGTTTATAGACTTTGCATCCTTGTCGGTGTTGGTTCAGGTAAGGGCTATTCAGAAAGAGTATTCCTATCTTCTATGACTTCTTTGAAAAAAAATGATTTGTGAATTGGTATTGACATATTAAAAGATGATACTATGGAGGATGTAGATAAGCTATGCAACAAAGTTCTGAAATTAAGGCTTTTCGAAAATGCCCAAGACCAACCCTGGAAGCAAACGATTCTTGAGGTTCAAGGAGAAATCTTATGTGGTATGCTTGAAATACTGCTCAATTGGACCAGATTCTTTCTAACAGCCATTGATAGTTTCTCAGTTTACTTTGCATGCACGAGTAAATAAAGGTGCAAAACCCGACTTCCACAGAAGTATGAAAGGCCCCGAGGCTGTTCAGCTTTATGAATCTGTGCTGGAAGGTTTGAAGACCAGTTTGGGCAACGACAAAGTTAAAAGTAAGTCTTTTAGATTTTACATATTGCTAACAGTTTGCAGATGGGTAATTACACGCGTTTCACCTTCTATTTTGACTCCTATCATAACTAACCTTTCAGTGTTTTCGGTGCCATGATGAACGTTCAACTTACCAACAATGGTCCTGTAACCATTCTTTATGATACCAAGGAATAAACGTTTCTAGCTAAATAATATTTCTTTTTTTTTTTTTTTTTTTTTTTTTTCTTTTTTTCTTACTTTTATTATTGTACGTAACGTAAGTATTATATAGTATATATATATATATATATAATATAATATACANATATATATATTATTATTA